AAGATGATGTATTAGCAAAATTTACACAATTACATAGGATGTTACAGCATGGAAACAGGCCAACTAGACTGTGACAATGTTTTACACTCTACATTGCAAGACTCTCTACCACTCTTAATTCCATTTCCCATTACCCCTCGATTACCCTCACACACACACACAAAAAAAAGACTTGGCATCATTCCCTGTGAAAAGAAAAGGAACCTTTTAGCGATTGATGTCTTATGAACAGAATCTGCACGTGACCACCCCTGGATATTTGATGGATCCAGCTTTGATAATTAGTTACAGTAAAGTACGTCGGAGATGTTGCTATTCCAGTTGAGGCTTACCATGTTAGTGGGAATGTTTATTACTTCCTTTACGATGTGACCTGAGCTCCTGCTGAATTCGTGCTACTTCAAAACTGCGTCCATTAATTACATTTGCGAAACCAAAGTGTGTCACTGGCCCTACATCAAGCGGATGGAGCAAAATCAATGGAGCTCAAGGTCTCGGGCACAATGGCCATTGGATCTGCTCAGCATTTCTGCTATCGGGATGAACGCAGACTTTGTTAAATCCACCAGGATTTCTCTCCTTTAAAAACAATGATCGCGTCAATTTGATTTAAAGAGAAGGCAGACATAAAAGGCACAGTCCAGATAAAACAGAGGCTAATCAACTGGGTTTTGAAAGAGTATCCGAGGAGGAAGTGAGATTAATGTGGAGGACACAAAATTTACAGTCAATTCACTTTACAGTATATTCTGTGAAGCGCTTTGAGACGTTGCTAAGAGGTGACAAGGCTCTTTATCAAATGCAAGGATTATTATTACTATCATCTCCTTTTTATGAATTTTTACACCCTTTTGGTGTCTACAATTACAATTCTGAATCAGAATAAAACGTTTTAACCTTTATTTACGCAATTTTTAAAAAAAGTGAACGAACCAGAGGAGCAAAATAACCTGGGTCATTCTGTTACGCTGAGACATGTAGTGAGAACCCCGGTGAAGCGGGTGAGAGTCAGAGAGGGGGAGAAGGGAGGTAGATTCTCAAACCATTTCAATGGAAACCTTGGAAAAAAAGCTCGGGACAAAGCCGCACAACATTGATCCGATCTGCTATCATTATTTCGGTACCTGGCCATCAAGAAAAGAACTGATTGGTCCAGCCAAGTGCCTCAAGTCATTTTGGTGTGAAAAGCTACTATATCAAATGCAAGCATTATTTATCACAGGAACTAGCTTTCAAAGATGCAAATGAGGCAGGGAGTTGTTCTACTCTGCTTCTGTTTGTGGTACAATGATGCACTTACACGCCATTGCCTGATATATTTGATCAGGAGATTCATTTTCCACAATTTAAAATTGACAAGAGAATTTGAACAGCTTTGCGCGAACTGTGTCAATTACAGGAGCTTAGGAAAAGTTTTGTTCAAACGGGTTCTGGATATTACATATGCCTAGTCGACGGCCCACGGCAACATCAGCGAGACACATGGAAATAGTGCACAGATTTACATTTAATTGGATGGCAAATTTCACCAGTTAAGAAGGGAAGGAGGAGTAAAAAAAAACGTATATTTTATTTGAAGTGCAAATTAGATTTCTGGGGTGGGACAAAAGATTTAGCTTAGGTCAGTCAAAAAAATAGGTATTTCCTGGAAAAACTGACAACAATAAACTCTACATTATGGTGTGTTTGTGGGACAGATAAAGAAAAACAGAGATTTGACTGTATCCCCCTTACGGCAACCAGTCTTTGAATAATCATATTGCTGGAAACATAAAAGGCATCTTTTGGCTTTTTCCATAGTACTTAACTGAAAGATAGGATTTGTGGGATTTTTTCCAATCCCATTGGAATTGTCCTATTTTTTTCCTCCAATGGAAGAGCAATTCTTGCATTACATTTTATTCAGCTAAAGGATAGAATGCTGATTTTTCACAGAGCACCCACGGAGTGTGAGTATCTTGCCCGAGGCACTGATGTTATCAGAGCAGTCTGTTGAACAGCAAAACAGAACTGCAGAGCTCCACAACTTGCACAGGGTGGAACACACCAAGATCAGGCTGTTTCATTTCATGCACCGATCGGCCACAGGCGAGCGAGCTGGAGACAAAGAGCTGGGTGGGGTGGTGGGGTGGGGAAACTATTCTACAACATGCGTCCAACACAGACCAACATTAACAATACACTGCTGTGGGATAAATGTCAAACCCAGATTATTATTTGAAAATTTAGTCGTGTATTTTGGACTCACATTTAAGAATCTTATAACTTTCGAAAGTAAATGCTATACATCTAAATAATCCTGACACGGGACAGAATTAGAGGTGTGAAAGAGAATGGGATGAAGGTTGTGGGTTCAAGCCTCACGTCAGGACTTGAGCTCGTACTAACCGAGGACACACACAGCTGAGTCCCAGTTAATCTTGTATAAGATAGTAAGAAGAAGAGTGAAAGGAGAGTTTAGGAGATTAGTTTTCACATAAAGAGTTGTTCTTGGGACATGGAATATCCTGTCACGTAAGGTGACAGAAGCAGAATCTATTGTGGTTTCAGGAGGGAATTAGACAGGTACAGGAAAGAAAAAGGCTTGAAGGAGTGTGTGGATGGCTCAGGGCATTGGGATTGAATGGATCATTTACTGTGAGAGCCAGAGCAGATTAGAGGGGCCAAATGGCCTCCTCCTGTACTCTAAATTGCTAAGCGCTTCGAGACGCTGTCTGGCATGAAGGCCGCTATATAAGAGCAAGTTGTTGTTTTAGTTGTTGATTCTAATGGTGGATCTTGGCACGATTCTAACAGCTTTTCTCTAATCTTGTGACAGGCTCATCCACTGATATCCCCCAAGAGATCCTGACAGATACATTTGCATGGTCAGAGAGCAGAGATGTTAATCGCGATGCCTTATAACCCAACTACATTATCAACGGCATTGAGTGACAGCCTGCTGTTGAACTCCCATTTCCCTTCACGGACCAGATAGTCCGGGCTTGTGGTCCAAGCAATGTATAGCTACTGAAAGCAAACTACTAATTTACTTTACATTTCACTCTGATTAATCGCTCTCTAGTAAAATTAGAAATAAATAATCATCCTTACATTTGGAAGAGCACCTTTCACGACAGCTGATAAGAGTTTCACATGATATACTGAGTGACTGCGTAATTTGGGGTGAATGCAAGAGATGCTTTTCCATTGGAACACAAGACCTTATGCAATGCATGGGTTTCTTGTTAAAAAAATCCTAAAATGAACCGTCACCATTTTACCCACACCTGTTCTCAGTACAACAGCAGTCATGCTTAAAAAAATCACCACTATTGCAGTAAAGCACCCACCATCACTTTCTACTGGTTCTGAGCTATCCAATGCCTGAATTTCCTTTAAGCTGATTTATACTAAAGTATATCAGAACAATCATCGCGGGGTATTAATGCCACAGTATATTTATAGATAGATGCTCACGTAATTTTACTAGAGAACATTGTCGGATTTGCAGTCCGGGGTTTATCTTGATACAAGTGGTTTATGAAACTGTTTTGCTTGTGTACAAGTATAAGAAAATATATCTAGAAATCAATATTGTTAAAATCCAATCAGCTGCATACTTCACTGTTTCTTCAACACAAAAAACATTCATTTACCAGAAAGTTTCTCTTTGGGATATGCAGCACTTGCATCTGATTTACACTGAGAATTCTGGCCAGTTTAGAGGATCAAGTACAACTGTACCTTAACTAGGAATATGGAACAACGGAGACAGGGAGTTACAAAGTAGAGGTCAAGACAATGCTGCCTCATTTCTTGCCTATAATATAATAATCCTTGCATTTGATATAGCGCTAACTTATCATATATTTGAGACGTCTCAAAGCGCTTCACAGAACATACTGTAAAGTGAATTGACTGTATATTTTTGGGGCGAAACGCGGCAGCCAATAGCGCCCAGCAGTGTCCCACAAGCAGTCGTGAATTGAGTGACCAAATTATTGTTGCTTTATTTTAAAAAAAAGTATTATTACCCTCCGAATAAACTAAACTCCGAGATTCTGGTGCTACATTGAGCGCGCTCCAGTTTATGAACTTTTGTATCTCCAGTCTAGATATATAGCATTGGTACGGTTTGGGCTGCACATTATAAAGAGGGAGGGTGTCAATTACTGTGTAACATTACCATATCATTAGTTACAAATAAAGTGATCATTTGACAGAGAGATGGGTGCTGGTTTACAAGCTCTTATTCCACTGAGGAACCTAGACATTTACACCTAATAATTAACAGCCTTTGAAATGACGTCTCCACGCCCTGCGTATGGGAGCAGTCAGCAATCACCAAAGCAGCTATTTCCATGGTTGAGCGCGCTCTGCTCAGGACACATTCTTCAGACAGCTGCTTTCTAAACCACTGTGTCGTGTTATGAACAGTCTGGTAAGGTACCACACAAATGGCAAGATCACACACAAATGATCCACTTTCATGATCCGCATTGAGTCTATCACTAACCGCGTCCTTGCACGCCCGCATGGCTTTACAACTCGTTGCACATTAATTCCAAACACAATTGAAAAAACGACTTGTTAAACCAAGTGGACTCTTTGTCTAGAACGCTCTCTCCTCCTGTCCGCTGAACCCCCCCCCCCCCCCATTCAATCCCCAGCTGAGTGGAGTAACCTAATGTATTGTTTTCCAATAGTTGAATGAAGCAGTTGCCTGCTCCAGAAGATCTTAGACCTGCCGTTTGATTCGTACAGTACTACTGTCACTGCCGCTTTATAAAGAAGAGCAGCTGCAATGACAGACACTCTCCGCTAGAGAGCACCGCCCTACAGGCAAGAACTCCTCAACTCACACTCAATCCGACGCACACCCAGACAGAGCCCAGTGCGAAATTAGGTCAATCAAACTGATTCTTCAGCTTAATTAAATTCTTCTCCACTTAAGAAGCCCGCAAGTAAGCACAACAAGCCCACAACTCACGAGTTAAGAGAACGTTGGCAGGACCTACCTCACGAGCTCTGTCTGCAGTGCTGTTGTACCAGTCAACAGTTCAGCTTCACTGGAAGGAGGAGAAGGCAGAGGGGGAGCTGCTGGCTTTTCACTGTCACAGGACACAGAAGCTCTGGAAAACACAGAACATGAGCAGCAATGCACCTCGAGGCATATTCCTGTATTTAAAGCAAAAGGAAATACACCTATAATTCAGATGGGTATTTTGGGGGGGGGGGGGGGGTGGGGGGAGTCAGCCACGTTTCGGACACATGCAGAAACCCATCACAGTGCTTAAGAGTGTCCAAACCGAACTGAGAGTTCCATGCATCCCACCTACACATGGAAATCCCAGAGGTGGGTTGTTGTTATGGAATGCGCACTCTCTCCCTGGAGGGAAGCATCCTGCTTACCTAATTCCGGGAAGTATTAGGCGCAGGTCGGCAAGAGCCAAGGCTTGGAGACACCAGAGTGTGCGTTCGAGTAACTGCTGGAGTCTAACCAGCTAAAACCCCATAGCTTACTGCAGTGGCAAGCTGCAGTGTTTTACTCTGCACTGAGAGTGAACATACGAAGAGCAGAAGTAGTTTACCTTATCAAATCTTGCTCCGAGGAGCCCTCAGCGGTCTCTGTATCAGTGTCCACAAGAGGTAGCGGAGGAATTGACCTTGTGATCTCACAAGGCACAGTATTACTGGCAAAAAAGTGAAAAAAACCTTTATGCCCGGGTGAACTATAGCTTAAGAAGATTTATACATGCAGTTTTGCTACTGCAATCATAACTCAATAGGACTCAGAAGATAAAATCTCTTAAGATGCCAGTCAGCTTTAGTGTCCTATGTTGACATTTCAACAGCCTGCTCAACCTGTAACCAACCCCATAGATACAAGTTAATTGCGCACAACAATGTCCCACAAACAGTCATGGATTGAGTGACCAAATTAGTATTTTTTTTAAAAAGGAATTATTACCCACTGAAAAGTGATCCGCCAATCGGCTAATAACTGAGTTCCTACTTACTGCTAGGGAAACAGAAGCATGTGGAGTAAGGAAACCTGCCCAACGTTTGCCCTGGGATCGAACCCAGGTCCTCGCGCTTGTGAGGCGAGTGCTCTAACCACCAAGCTACAGGACTCCACAAAATCTTTGCATCACACACCTCACAAGCTCTGTCTGTTGATCTGTTGCTTCAGAAGTCACCTCATCTGCACCATCTGGTTCCAGAGATGAAAGAGATGGAGATAAAGACGCAGAAGGAACCAATGGCTCTTCCAATTCACAAGGAAAGGAAACACTGGAGATACACAATAGAGACAAATAGACCATTGTTACACTTCACAGAAACTTTGCTAAACACTTTGAGATTTTCGACATGATAGGTAACGTCTCAACTCTACCTTTTTTACTCACAACACAGAATAAAATATATTCTTGAACTGCATTAAAACAACAAGCGTACAGATTGTAGAGAAATGACTGCAGAATCCAATAAATCCTTCAGCTGCCAAGATATTAATTGAATCTTGCTGCAATGTGCAGTTGTTAAGTTTCCAGATACGTGGCACATAGAGTCACTGGGGCAAAACATTTGCTGTAAATTAAATGTGTCAAATAGTCTCAAGAAGTTGTCCTTCTCTGCCTTTTTGTGTGACGGAACCCCAGTGAGCTGCCCCAGGCTGTGCTATAACTGGTCCGTGAAATATTTGCGACTCGTTACTCATCACAAAACACGGCACAAAGATTCTCCCCAAATCACAATGCGTTAGTGGGATGTGTTTGTGCAGCGTACCTGGCAAGCTCTTCCTGCAGTGTTGGGTCAGCAGATGCTTTATCTACGTCGTCGGGCAGCAGAGGCAAAAGAGGAGAAACTGCTGGTCCTTTACGACCACGAGATACGGGAACGCTGAAAAACACAACCAACAATTTATCAGGACAGGTATTCCTCAGCTCGTGCCAAACAGTAAGAAAACAGGTTAACTTAAAATGTCTTTAGTCACCCAACAAAATACATCAATCGAAAGCTTTCATATCCAAAGGGCCTCTGTTGTCTTCATAAGAGGACCAACATACTGTAATTTTTTTCAGGGAATGCAAGCTGGACACATACAATTCAGATGTGGACTGCATCATGTCATCGCTCAACTAAGCTGACTGTATAATTTGGGTGTCACGCATTGGGTAAACTTTTTTTAAATAAAAAATAAACGTTGAAGTGGAGGGGACTGCATCCCACTTGATAAGCAAATTCCCACTGAGCTTGCATCATGCCAGGGCACCGCAAAACATATCACTGAGTTTCACGATAGGGCCTCTCTCACCGCCTCCAGCGACAATCTAGTACTGATGATCATTACTACTCCATTCAGCCTTTAAAAATGTGTTGTTGGAATAACAATTTGTCACATCTTACTTTTGTTGTATCTTATTTACAACAATTATTAGGAGTAAGGTATGACAAAAGCAAGGAAGCTCTTTGTAAAATAACTTCAAGGTTCACATGTACTACAATATTTTAGTCAAAATTTAAATAGTGTTAAATACCACCAACAACTTACATTTATATAGGGCCCCTCATGCAAGGGTAACATCCCAGAGCACTTGTGCTCATTCATACCCAGATATTTAATCAACACATTACAATAAGGTCAACCTCAATTGTGCAGACTGTCACTCCCTCAAAAGGTCCATCGACTCGAATGCAATTGTCAGGCGCTCTGGGACACTACCCTGCATGAGGTGCACTATATAAATGCAAGTTGTTGTTGTGAAGCCCTGAAAGTGAACATGCAGTCACAAGCAAAATATATTGCAATCTCGCGAAGGAAGATTTTGACAGAAAAGTATGCAGAAAATTCCCAAATCCTCTGTAATACGGAGTTTGCTGAAAAGCTGATGAAAACAACTGCACCAATTTGTCAAGTCTGAAAGGCAATGAAAGCACCAGAAGAGCAGTTATCCTCATTAACAGAAAACAACTTGATAATGAAGTCAATTTAACAATTCCCAATAAAGAGTACGGAACCAACCAAGGTCACCTCTGAAGTTCTGCTGATAGTGAACACACACACATGAGGCTTTGCCAACACTCAGCACAATGTTCCGCCTTCATAATAAAGTCGATCAGATCAAACTCTCAAGCTCTGCAAGATTACAGTTTGTTAGTTGAGCGCTGTAAGCGTTCAGTGCTACTTTTTTTAAAAAAACTGTATATTTGTCAAATTAAACCATAGTGTGATGGCAGCCCCTCAGTCAACAATACGGTATAAATAATAATAATTCATGCGTTTGCTATTGCACCTTATCACGTCAAAACTTCACCAAGCTTTTATGTGATACAGTGACTGTATATTTATAATAATATTTATAATAATAAAGTATTTATAGCAATACTATGTGTAGAAAGGCATTCCATATCGATGCAATTCAGACTGAATCTAGTCGCTAAATCTCACTCAAACCCAACTCAAAGATGAATGCATTTTAGCTCCAATATCAATAAAATTAAGATACAAATGCAGATTATGACTCGCCACCCGGGCAATTGAAACTAACAGTGACAGAACGTAAATCAGTCTGTACGTTAGCTGGAATAGCCTGGATAGCTGGCGGCATTAATGCCACACCATCATGCAAGTCCAAATAAGGACCTTGTGAATGTTCCATGATTTGATTGTCTGCACTAAACGCTGTATATTGACTCCACTGTTTTCACATTCAAAAGGGAAATGGACAAACATTTGAAAAGGAACAATAAAACGGCGAGGAAGCCGTGAGGTGGGATGAGAGGAGCTGATTTCGCCCACAAAATAATAATAATCTGTGCAAATACACACTCGATTCACTTTGCAATATATTTTGTGAAGCGCTTTGAGACGTCTCAACAACGTGATAAGGTACTGTATCAAATGCAAGGATTATTGCTATTATTACTAATGATAATAATCAACAGGGAGCCCACAAGTACACACAGTGACTTTTCACTTTACAGCAATAACCTGTGAAGCGATATCGAGCAATGTTGACAGTATCAGTGTGATACCAAATGCAACAGGATATTATTTTACATTTACAGCAACAAATTTGCCCACAAAATACAGCCAATTCACTTTACAGTATATTCTGCAAAGCGCTTTGAGACATCACAAAGACGTGATAAGGCGCGATATCAAATGCGAGGATTATTATAATGGATTACCTTCCAGATAGGATACGTATCTCTGAAATCTGCAGACTTAATGAACCCTTTATCTGACTCCAACTGAATTTGTATATCACAAAGGTTCAGGAAGACTTCTCAGCAGTTTATTCAGGTTTGACGATAATAAACAGGCTACAATAAGCAGCTGTCGTTGTAACGCTGTGATCAGAAATCAGCACCAAACGTCTCAGGAACACAAGACGTTTCCTTGGAATGCTGGCATCTGTGCTGCAAGGGATCCTGGCTGACATAATTGTTTGGGGGGTGTCTGGCACGTGCGGAAACCCATCACCATGCTTAAGCGTATCCAAACTAGACTGAGAACGCCACACGTTTCTGCCACCTCCACAGGCAAATTCTCCTGTGCGTTGGAATGGAATGCACACTCCCTTTCCGGAGTGGCCCACACTCGCTTACCTAATTCCAGGAGTATTAGGTGCAGGTTGGCAAGCCATGAAGGGTATGTTGGGGGTAAGGCTGGAGTTTAATCAGCTAGAACTGCGTAGTTTGCTGACATTATATGCATTACTAGCCCTGAAACAACAACCCTCTTGTGTTCCTGCTGATTATGCTTTCTGTGGACTCAGTCAGACCACACTCATGTGTTTTGATGTGATCTATAGTATTCAAACAGTCACTCTGGAAACCAGAGTGTGGGTCTCCCAGGAACTCAGGTTTGGAATTAGCTTGCGGAATTGTACACCAGACTCAAACACTGGATCCTGCGACGTCCCCCAGATAGTCAGGTAAGGTCAATGCGTTATACACGGATAATGTATTACGCACGCCACTGTGATAAATGGACACATACTTAGCTCTAAACCACTGAATCACACTGCCTAACCCCCTCATCTCCACTCCCCACTCGAAAAGGAAAAAAGGATACAAACGTGCCAACGGATCAGCTGAAATCAGACCCACGGTGCAAATCTGATCCATGAGATTGCCCTCCAGGTTATATTCACACATACAAGAACGGCAGCCAGAATAATAAAACAGGAAAAAAACACACACACACATACGCCTTCGATGGTACGGCTTCAGTTACTGAGTACAACTGATCAGTCATCACCCTTCAGAGAGATAAGAATGGTGCTTGTGTTAGTCAACCGGTCACCTGGAAAGTCTAATCAGATAGTGTCCTTCCCCAGCTAACAACAAGATTGCCTATTGATAGACCACTTTTGACAATGAATTGAACTCCAGGAGTAAAGGGAGATGAATATTTGTTGTTGATTTCAGTGGTTCATAGTTCGGTTCAATTCAAAAAAAAATTTAAATATAATATTTTGTATCTAAAACTCAAAGGCGGAGTGTTAGATACAAAATATTATATTTAAATGAACACATGAGAATTTGTGGAATACAGCATCCAAAATAATACAGCATTGTGGAATACCGCATCCACTGCGTGTCTCATGGAGAAAATAAAGAGAGAAGGATATGAGGATAGATAAATGCATGGCTTGGTGAAAGAAAACATGTGCATTTTTGCCATAACCCAAATAATCCTGACTCCAGCACTCTGAGCGTGTGCTTTAACCTACTGCGAGGAAGATTAACAAAAGGGGACAAAGGAAAAAGCAAGGAGATGGGAGACAGTATACAGTTCCAGTAGAGAAGCTTGCTCTAGGGCAGACCTAATGTGTCAACACATCTCCCTCTGTGCTGCAATTTCCTAGAATCTATAACAAAAGCACTGGGAAAACTCCAGGAATTATAGAAACCTCGACTTTCGAATCACTTGTGTAAATTTCAATGCCAGTTCTGTCCACAAAGCCTTTGAAAATTAAGTTGTTTGCGCATTGCTCAATTTTTAAAAAGTCGCCAAATCAAGCCGCAAAGTGATAAAATAGTTGACAAATGATCATTTAATATCGGTCACGATTATGAGACAGCTTCACCATCATACGAGGAGTTATGAGAATCCAATAGTCTGACCGAGCTAATAAACCCCGAGACATTCTTAATCACCGTGAGTGATGTATTATGGGTTGTGCTAATTGCGTTCAAATCGCGTTGAGTTGAAAGCACTTGACCTTTGGTGTGGCTACATGTGATCCCATTCCATGGCATCTGTTGCAAAAAAAAACTTTAGTGCATGAGGAAGGGACACAGGAACTTGGAGACCAGAATCAATTGACGTCCAATAGTTTGATTTCCTATCGCTTTGAATGGCTAAGGAGATGAAGTTGAAATCCAATGTGCAAATTACTGAAGAACAAGGCTTGTGTGATGAACGCATAGCTGCTGGTTGCCTGTCTAATGATGTGTGCGTCAATCCGACTGCAGACCTACAGACATGGGATCGCAGCTGGGACTGGAAAGATTCGAAATATTTCACAACAGTTGTTCCAGCAGATTAGTCATCGCAATTAAAATTCCTCCCTCCATCCCTTCAACTCTTAACCCTGTCTTGCCCATTGTGGGTTGTGCTCCAGTTCAGTTGATACGTTGGAAGTTTTGATCCTTACTAGACAAGCAAATAAAAAGTAAAAGACAAGCGGAGAGTAGGATCTATTTTTGCACTTCGTAAAGTACAATTGAGCTATCTATCCATCTAGAAATACTGAAACTCCTAAGTTCAGAGCGAAGGCTCACACTATTCTTCCTATAAAACACACTCGCAAAGACCATGAGAAACACGCTCCCTGCAAAAGTAGGTATTGCTGTTTGAGTAACTCTCGGTTGAAGCAAAAACTGGGGAAAAAGAAATGTCGCCAAGATTGGTTATAAGGAAAAGATTCAAGATCTTGAAGCATACCATCAAATCGCTTTTAGAACGCAAAGTTCCTTCGCTCCTGTAACCATGCAATTGTCATCTGTGAAGCTTAACCAGCTGGAGCTGCCTACGGAGTAGACTATAACCCACAGTTTCAGCAGATTTTGATAGGAGTTGAAACAAGTTTTCAGACAGTTGGTCACCCCACTCAGACATGGATTCACTTGCGTTCAGTGCTAGGAGCAAAGCGATATTGCTACCAGCAGTAAAACTAATCGCAATGAGAAGCTTCATATACACTTCATGCCCGAGGACTGTTAGCTAAAACCAAACACTGAACACTGAAAGCTCTGCACGTAAGCAACTACCCTCCCCGCCCTCCACCTCTCCTGATCCCAACCACCTGCTCAGGTGCGGATCCCTGACTGTCCAGCTCCTTCGGATGTCCTCCTGACGTGAAAGGCGCTATACAAATGTAATTTGTTGTTGTTGTTGTTATTCCTTTTATCATAGAATCGCAGAATTGTACAGCACAAAAAGAGGCCATTCGGCCCATCGAGTCTGTCCCGACTCTTTGAAAAGAGCAATGTAATGTCAATCCCACTCCCCAACCCTTTCCCCATAACCCTGCAAACCCGTCCTCCTTAAATACCCGTCCACCGCGTTTTTAAAAGTAGTCATTGAATCAGCCTCGACCGCCCTTTTAGACAATGCGTTCCAGATTCAAACAACTCGCTGCGTGAAAAAAATTCTTCTCACCTCCCCTCGGCTTCTTTTAGAGACTATTTTGAATCTGTGACCTCGAGTCACCGACACACCCACCAGTGGAAACAGTTTTTTCTTTTCTAACCTATCAAAGCCCCTCATGATTTTGAAGACCTCTATCAGGTCTCCTCGTAACCTTCTCTGCTCCAATGAGAATAATCCTAACCTCTCCAGCCTTTCCTCAGCATCACGGTCCCTCATTCCTGGTACCATCCTCGTAAATCTCCTCTGCACCTTTTCCAATGCCTTAACATCCTTCCTATAGTGTGGTGCCCAGAACTGGGCGCAGTATTCTAACTGAGGCCTAACCAGTGTTTTATATAGGTTAATCATAACCTCCTGACTCTTGTACTCTATGGCCCTATTTATAAAGCCTCGTATCCCATTTGTCCTTTTGACAGCTTTATCTACCTGTCCTGCCGTCTTCAGGGATTCATTTACCTGCACCCCCAGGTCTCTCTGCTCTTTCACCCCCCTTAAGACTGTATTACCAGCCTATATTGCCTCCCCTCATTCTTTCTACCAAAATGCATTACTTCGCATTTCTCTACAATGAAACTCATCTGCCATGTGTCTGCCCATTTTACCATTCTGTCTATGTCTTCCTGCAGTTGGCTGGTAACCTTCTCACTGTTTACTACCCTACCTAACTTTGTGTCGTCCACAAACTTGGAAATGGTACTTGCTATACCCAAGTCCAGATCATTTATGTATATTAAGAAGAGCAGTGGTCCTAATACCGATCCCTGGGGGACACCACTGTACACTTCCCTCCAGTCAGAAAAGCAGCCGTTCACCACAACTCTCTGCTTTCTGTCTTTCAGCCCGTTCTGGATCCGCTGCCACTGTCCCTTTTATACCATGGGCTTCTATCTTTCTTACAAGTCTTTCATGTGGCACTTTGTCAAATGCCTTTTGGAAGTCCATATAAACTACATCAACTGCACTACCTTTATCCACCCTCTCCGTTACCTCATCGAAAGATTCTATTAGACAAGATTCTGTTAGACAAGATCTGCCTTTAACAAATCCGTGCTGGCTGTCCCTGATTAACCCATATTCTTTTAAATGAAGATTTATTCTGTCCCAGATTATAGACTCCAGGAGTTTCCCCACTACTGATGTGAGGCTGACTGGCCTGTAGTTCCCAGGTTTGTCCTTCTGTCCCTTTTTGTACAGGGAGTAACATTGGCCACTCTCCAGTCCTCTGGCACCACTCCTGTGTCCAAATTTTTTCAGCTCCTTTATAATAATAATTATAATAATAATCCTTGCATTTGATATAGCGCTTTTCACGTCGGGAGGACGTCCCAAAGCGCTTCACAGAACACACTGTAAAGTGAATTGACTGTATATTTGTGGGCGAACGCGGCAGCCAATTGCGCACAGCAATGTCCCACAAACAGTCGTAGATTGAAAATGACCAATTTAATTATTGTTTTTAGTTTTGGAGGGATTATTATTAGGCTCTGTGTGGAGTAAGGAAACTTGCCCAAGGTTTCGCCCTGCCTGGAAATGAACTCAGGTCTCTCGCTTACAAAGCGAGTGCTCTAACCACTGAGCTACAGGACTCCACAAATGATCGTTCAGGCAACGATTTCTATTTTCAGGTCAGCAAGAGGAAGCTGAACATTCCAAATGGGATTGAGAAGGTAAACCAAGAATACTTTAGGACGCTCTTACACGGTAGAAGAAGAGGGCATGGGTTTAAAGTTGCAAAGGCAATTTCTGAATAGAATGCCAGGAAGTTTTTCTTTACGCTGAGAGTCACAACTGGAACATGTTGCCAGGAAAGGTGGTTGAGCCCGGCACACAGGACTCGTTTAATAAAAGAAAAACAGCTTGATGGTGTGAATGGATGAATTTTCATCCAAACTAAATCCTGTGATCTTGTAAACAAAACTATTGGCAATTAGTAGATTGACACAGTTAGAGAATGTGGTTTGGGAGTCACAAATACAATACAATACTACATTACATTTGTATAGCCCTTTCACACTGGGAGGATATCCCGAGGTGCTTAAATCCCCATAAAGAGAGTTCCTGATCTAGACAGTGGTCATTGTGAAGCATACAACAACAACAACAACAGCTTGCATTTATATAGCGCCCCTCGTGTAGGTTAGCCTCCCAGAGCGAGCAGAGATTGCTAACCCCTCTTCATTACCAGGAAGGTGCATGGTATAAGAAACCAAGGGATGAATAATAAATTAATAAGTAAACCCTCCTCATGCCCCCCGGCAAAAAAAAAATCATTAGTCAAGTTGAGTCCTGTAGCTTAGTGGTTAGAGCACTCGCCCTGCAAACAAGAGGCCCTGGGTTTCTTTACTCTACATGCCCCTGGTTACCTAGCAGTAAACAGGAACTCGGTTGTTAGTAGATTGGACGTTTCCAGGGGTATAATCTCTTCCAAATTCTTTTTAAAATAATAATAATAATAATTTGATCACTCAATCCACGATTGTTTGTGGGACAGTACTGTGTGCAATTGGCTGCCCCGTTTTGCCCCCAAAATATACAGTCACTCCACTTTACAGTATATTCTGTGAAGCGCTTTGAGACGCCTCGAAGCTGTGATAAGGCGCTATATCAAACGCAAGGATTATTATTTTATTTATTATTAAGTTACCTATTGCTTACAATCATTCTCGTGAGAATGGATCAGCTTCATCCCAATGAAGCAAACTGGTTGCTTCTGTTTAAAGTACTTACATCTGTTAATGCAGTAAGGTATCAGTTGCAATCCTGGCTCAGAACTCCTACCAAGTGGTGAACCAAGTCTAAATTTTTCATGTAAAGCAGCGTTTTTTCCATTAGATTACAGAGAGCGCAAATCGATGCCTGAAAAAATAGCCCAGTAATCCAAAAGTGCCTGAGACACACTGCCCCAAAAACCCTTCATTCGCAAGGTGCTGTTGCTACTCTCAAAGTTCTTTTTCAACCAGCTCGAGCTCAAAGGTTGTGACAAAGAGGAGAACAAAACAAAAGTAGACCTCAAGTGAATACCTGAACCTCAACATGAAGAAAAGCCAAGAACTCAAAAGGAAGATGAGCCCTTCAAGGACAGCTGCCACACATTAGCATCCGAATAAAATGGTTTAACTATCAAGGCTATTTTTTTTTTGTAAAATAATACGAACAAAGATTACTTTCTGCACCACACACAGTTTCCCAGTTCCACCTTGCTTTAGATTTCTGAGAATCAGAAGTTGACTCAATATTGCTTTCACAGATGTTAGGAAGTAATAAACGTGTGTGTTGAGAATTCAGGAATGAAAGGGGTGAGCTGCGAAATGGCAAAATAAATTCACAAAGCTCTGACAACAAACGGTGATGAGTTATAGTTTACAACTTGCAAGCATTACGTTTCCCCAGTCTCAACTTGCGAAGGGTTTCACGTGAAATTACCTTTCTTGTGCCGGCAAAGGGAAGCTCTCAGATACTCGAGTTGACTCGGGGCTGATTATGCTGCTTGGCAATGCTGGACGAGGCAAGACATCAGAGTCAAGTACAGGCCTGCAAAAGAAAAAAAATGTTTCAGAATTCAACAAGAAATCTATAAACAGCTGGAACGACAAAAGGCAGATCTGCTACAAAATCTGGGTCTATTCTGTCTTATCAGCAGCATTTAACCCACCATCTGCTGCAGGCACAGAACCAGGGTTTCTATGCTATTCTGCCTCACTTGTTGTTTTCCAGATTCGGCACCTGAGCTGCTGAACAGAGTATAATCACAGTCATACCTGACATGCAAGAAAATCGAGTCTTTGTCCGATTTGAACAACTGCCCGAAAAGCAGTCCGGGACGTCAATCTAGTTTGTCTCCGACGCTCGGGTTTGAGAGAGAAAAAAGGAAAGTAAAATTCTGCGACTCAACTCTCTCTCCGCTGGGATCGAGAACTGAAATTCAGCCCATGGAGAGAAGGGAGGTGTCTCTGAGTGATATCGTCAGCAAGCCTCCAGAGATTGTTAAAAAAAAACACCTGGAGATCAGCCAACATACCTGAGTTTTTAGTATACAATGATTCGCCAAATCCCTAACTCGTTTTACTTTATACAGTTTATTTTAAAAAAAACATGAAGCAAGAAGTGCAAATGTCCAGAATATTTTACTTATTAAAAGAATAATAAGATCCATTATTTGAAGATTAATGCAGGGCTCCATGACTCACTTATCCTGCAAAAGATCACTTTATTCTGCACCTTGAACTGTCCATGTAACGTTTAACGAATGAATGCACAAAAGGTCTGCTCTCCGAGTGTTGTGCAGCAAGTCACATCTGTTAGGACGTTAGTAGGGCAAGTCTGCAGCAGAAATTTGAGGCTTTAATAACCTAACATAATGGCATTGATTGCATTGATTATGGCCACAGGTGTAAGCTCCACTTTATAGTATTTAATGCCCTATTGTAAGCCAAGATGCTACAACATGCTAAAAGTCTCTTGGTTTAGAAAACCCTGGAATGAGAAAGTCTTTTGAGGAAAAACAAAGAGGAATTTTTTTTTTCTTTGGGTCTAAGATTACATTTAGAAATTCCGAAACCATCAGCATCTGTGACGCAGTGTCACATGTTCAGCTTCCGGTGTTGTTTTTCGTACAGTAATAAGCGGTGAACCCCACCCCATCACTGGCAGTCAATCCAGAGCTTAAAAGCACATTGTCACTTAACACTGAACGTGTGGGGCTCGTCCGAGTTCATGTCCATCTTATGGAACAACAGCTTGCATTTACGCAGCATTTAAGGCAGGGTAGTGTCCCAGAGCACTTGACAGTGGCGGTGGGGGGTGGGGGGGAGAAGCGGAGAGGTGACTTTAACTGGAAGATGTGCAAGGAAGAAGCAAGGCAGAGGGATAGAGGCAAAGTGTTCCAGAGTCTCGGGCTGCGGTGGCTGAAAGCGCGGCTTATATATACGTTGTATATTAATTATGCTGCTATTTCCTACTCGATGCTTTGGGTGGTTATTAATCCCCACGTTACAGCATTTCCAACTCACGGTGCCCTGAAGGAACTCGTGTCGGGTTACATCATCGTGTCAAGTGTGAGCAATGTTATTGTGGCACATATGGCAAAAACACATGCCGCTCTTTCAGATAGTCTCCCTCAAAAACATTTGCCGCACATCCTTGCCATGAAAAAAATAATAATCCTTGCATAATCCTTAAAAAAATGCTCCTTTAAAAACCTATATCAAATGTATTTTCGAATCTGCAAAATATAACATCCCTCCCTCCTCCCACACCCACCCTCCTATGCTCAAAACACGAGCACAATTCAAATGAGCAATTTAGCTGTGTGTTTTTAATGTCCGGAAGATGGTTTGAGCATTGCACTGTGAAAGAAGTTATCTCAGCGTAGAAACGATCAAGCTTTGCCCAGCAAAGTTTATGTACTGTACAAGTTGGCAGGTTCTGAAATCAGCCGCAAGCTTTACCTCTTACAACTCTGTCCACTGCTACCTTAATGTGGCCACTCATCTCCACGCCTGTTTGTGGGACTCTGTTGCATGCAACTGGTTGCCTTGTTTTGCCCACAAAATATACAGTCACTACGCTTTACAGTATATTCCTGGAAGCACTTTGAGACGCCTTGAAATCGTGATAAGGCGTTCTATCAAATGCAAGGAACATTACTGATTATTATTAATGGAGTTTGTTCGGGGCTAGTCTGGAGAAAGGTCAACAACAGGGGCAAGAAGAGAAAAAAGAGGTGGAATTGACTCCTTTAAATCAGGAGCTAAGGTAACACTAGTAAACACAGACACTGAGGTGAGTCAGGATAGAAGTCCATGTATTGTATTTTGAAAACTCTTCCCTATAGGAGATTACATTCACATTATACAAATCCTGAGATCCCTTGTAAGTATAATAAATTTGAACGGATCCATTCCGTACTCTATACAGGCTTGTGTGTTTTGGTAAGGATATTAATCATGTAGCCCTCTCTGTCTACTCTCTCTCTCGCCCGACTCCATTGGCTCCCTATCCTCCAGAGGATCCAGTTCAAGATCCTGGTCCTCACATACAAAGCCCTCCATGGCCTCACCCCACCCTACCTCTGCGACCTCCTAACCCCCTACCAACCCACCTGTTCCCTCCGCTCAGCCGGCTCTGGTCTGCTCCACGTCCTCCGCCCCACCCGCCCCACCATTGGCGGGAGAGCCTTCAGCCACTCTGCCCCCAACCTCTGGAATTCCATCCCCCAGTCACTCCAACTCACCCCCTCCTTAGCCTCCTGCCTCAAGACCCTCCTCTACGACCATGCCATCGGCCACCCCCCTTCCCTCCCCCCACCCTTCCCCTCCCGACCACAGCTTGGGTCTGAAATGCTGTACAGTGTCCAGCGCATTGGGACATCCTCCCAATGTGAAAGGCACTATACAAATGTAATCTTGTTGTTGTTGTCTAACCGCTCACCCCCACCCCACCCCCAATCCAATTTTGTAACCGGTCTCCAGTTTTGATCGATTGTGGTGCATTGTTCAACCACGTGCGCAGTTGGCTGCTGCGTTTTGCCCACAAAATATGCAGTCAATTCACTTGACAGTATATCCTGTGAAGCGCTTTGAGACATCCCGAGGACTTGATAAGGCGATCTATCAAATACAACAACAACAAAAAGAACAAAATTACATTTGTATAAGCGCCTTTCACATCAGGAGGACGTCCCAAGGCGCTGAAATTATTATTATTATTATTATGCTTTTGGACACCTTCCCCAAAAAACTTTCTATCAGCTTCCTTCTAGCCTGAGCTCCTGATCCACCTCGTGAAGATTTTCCCGATGTCCTCCCGATGTGAAAGGCACTACGTAAATGTAAACCGCTCTCGCTGATCTCCCGAAGTGTTTTTGCCAGAAAGTTTTCTTTTGCCTGGAGAAGAGTCAACTATTTACTTGAAAGAAATCTACTGGAATTCGATTGTTCCTTGCTGGGAAGCGAATGTCTGGTATGCTTGGGATGTATCTTTTGGGAAGGATTAAATTGCAACTGGGAATTCGACTTCAATCCTTTTTTAGAGCCAGGCAGCACTCACAATATGAGCTTACTTATGCAATCTCTACAACCAGCGGCAGATTGCCTGTCCAACCAGAAATTCCTGTTCTTATACCAACCCGATTATGCACTATAATTATTAAGAATTCAGAGCCAAATACTCTTACACTGAAGCTGCGGTGATATTTAACTATTAACTACTCTGGAAATTAATACATTTACAAAAACTGGATCTATAATTATGATCAATTGTAACGCTGTCGTTTTTTCTCCAAATACGCTGCAAGGGAGATTCTTTTGTCGTTCTGGCCAACATCCCACCAGAAAGAAAAACAAGTTGGTCATTCACTTTATGGCTGTTTGAGGGACATTGGTGTACGCAAACTGACTGCTGCAGTTTGCCTACATATAAACAGCCAATGCACTTCATAGTAAATCCCGCAAAGCGCTCTGAGCCCTCCCCCGACATGAAAGGGGCTATATCAACCGCAAGGATTATTGTTATATTCCTAAACCCATCTACCGCCACATGGCTTTCTTGTTAACGTCACACGGACAATCATTTAGCTGCAGAAGGTAAAGTTATTATTGTAGATTTCATTTACTGACAGTTCCTACTACACAGAGATAACAGAGAAACCGATGCTTTCAGCCAGTCCAGTTCCTGCTACTTTTATCATATAAACACAGGAACAATGTGGGGGAGGGGAGAGGGGAATGCGCGTGTGGGATTTGGGGAGATGGGTAAGAGTTTTAAAACTCCCATCGGCTGTAGGTTTAACTACAAGCATATCTTCGCCTTATTCAGAAATCAATACAATTAACCAAAACAAACAGCTATCTGTTTTGCTGCTCCCTTGTGCCACTGTAGCTCAATCTGCATCTTTAGAACCATTAAATAAATAACGTACTTTCTCCTTATGCATAATCAGACAAGGTTCCTGCTTCCAGACTGACATAGGGGCTGCAGAATGTAAAGCTCATGCTATTAACACCAATAAAGGCAAATGTCTCACCAGAACAAATAAAAGGCACATTAGACATTACCCCCCAGAGAGCTGAACATTCTGGACACCCTTCATTACTGTTTTACTGGCCCAGACAATTACAAAGGACCACTCCTGGTGCATTCTTGAACTGTGTACAATAAGTAATTCTGTCTGCCGTTACTATTTCATGCTTAGCTGCACAGTAAAACTGTTTCTCACAGCTCGATCTGGCACCTTGCCACAAATGGAACTCACTAAACTCAGTTAAAGGGCCACAAATCTTTGTCTTGCAAACTACCGTGGCCCTAATTTTGTTTTGCCAGCAGATGAGGTGCACCACAACTATATACCCATTCCCCTCATACATACCTCGACACTCGCAAGCCAAGAGTGTACTGCGCTGTGCGGGAAGTTAAATCTTAAATCTTTTTCACAATGGACACACGGGATGCTGAACTGCGGATCTGGCTGCACGTTACCCACAGAGTGGTGTGGAGTGAATGCCAACAGGCAAGAAAGACTGCAGCAGTCTGCAAAGTGTAAGCACTCGCTATCGACTCCAGAGAGGGCCACTTAAAGAGTCAGCCAACTCGCAGTCGGTGTAATCCACAGCTTATGACACGGTTCTTGAATGAAGGACACTGAAAGACTGGCTCTCACAAAAGACCACTGACTGGTTCTAACACTGGAGCCTTCTGACAGAGGCTCCTCCCCGGGTTGTATTGTCAGGATAGGTCAGGATCTGACTGACAACCAACAAGTGCACTTCAGGCATCCGAAAGTGCTGAGGGTCAGCTGGAAACAAGTCTGGGTCGGGCTCACACACACACATACAATGTGCCGTCACATTTCCAAATGATAACTCACAGACGAATCCCCAGACGAAAGCCATCAAGCGCTGCTTTTAAGAGTGTGACGTAAGCCTCTCCAATTACAATTACATCATATGTATTTACACGTCTCGGAGCTCGACGGGAACAGAGTTGCTCTTAATCATACAAATCATACCCGCCTATAGATTCTGCAACGGTCGCCCAGAGGTTTTATAATGACGCCCTTAAAGGAACGCGACAAAGCCGCAGTGATATAAATAAATTACGATAAAGCCACAGAGTCACACACACGCGCACACTCACGCACCACAAGCACTGCACAAACATTCAGGAGTATTTTCACTGAGCGCTGTTGTCCATTCATTCACGCCCCATTTTCTAACTGGCATCCATGATGGCTTCATCCCATACATCTGTTGCTGCTGTGCAAACTGCACCCCCAGCATCGTTTCCAAGTGTAGAACATAAGAACATAAGAATTAGGAGCAGGAGTAGGCCATTCAGCCCCTCGAGCCTGCCCCGCCATTCGATAAGATCATAACTGATCTTCAGACCTAACTCTAATTACCTGCCCTATCCCCATATCCCCTAATCCCTCTGTTTTTTAAAAAATCTATCAGTCTCAGCCTTGAAAGGAGAACAGGAAGGTTGGGGAAGGGGACTACAGTCAACAGAGATCAGGGAAAAGAACAATTAGACAAGAGAGGTGCTACCTCCTGACTTCTGACCGACTGACAACATAAAAATATGTTTAGATGGTAAAAGCACAAAAGGAAGTACCCTGTATACCTTTCAGCCTTCAGTCCTGCTTCAATTATTTGGACTTCAGGGCTTTTACACTCAGCATAGGGAAGCTTCTTCTCCGTGACATCAGCTGAGAGGCACAGGGAGTGGCCCTGAGGTTCAGCTGTTGGTTCTGGAAGCGAGTACTCCTTTGTAAATACACCATCAGTCATGCTGGAAGGCTCCTTGACGGAAACTGGAGGACTTGTTCCAGTGAAATTCCCTATTGCTGGAACGCCCACAATGTGTTCCTGCCCCTTGGCATCCTTCTCCAATACACCCTCCTCGGCATCTCCCGCGTGCAATAACAGCAGGTGCTGGGCTACGCTGCTGGGTTCCTCAGGTTTAACAATCAGCAGTTCTCGGAGTGGAGATTCCTGTGAAGTAGCGTGTCTTTTATGCTCTGTTCCCACTGCCGAGACTGGCTCTTTCTCCGCTGTTTCTGGAAGGGTATCGCCCCCCAGAACAGAATCCGTTCCCAGACAAATTTTCTCCTCGCGAGCCTTGTGTGACACCGGACTGTCGTCTGTCTGTTGTTGCTCACTCTTCAAGGGTTTATCTGATAAGTGATTCATGTCCACGGCCTCAGGAACGGTCGGTGAGCAGGGAGCACATTCCGCTGGGCACTCTACATTCTTTGCAGAAACACATTCCCCGCCACTCACGCTCAAGCTCTGTTGCTTCTCACTGTCGAGGGTTAACCTCAGCAGATCCTCTGTTAACACTGCATCAGGAAGCAGAGTATCAGTGGAGAGCTCACCGGATTCTGGGATTCTCTCTTCCACATCCATTTGAAGGCTGCGTACATTTTCGCCAAAGATGTCTCCTCTCGTTTCAACGTTGCTGGTTTGGTCAGCTTTGCCACCAGGGCTGATTGTGCTCTCCGGCAATCCAGCGGCAGTATTAGAAGCGCGAGAGTTAGATAGCAATTCCGTGCTTCCTGAGGCCGCGGTTTGTTCCAAGTACATCTGTAGAAGGCAGAATTCTTCATTGGGGAATTGGCTCTCTTTGGGCTCACGGTCACACGTTTGCTGTTTTTCAGGGACGCGGTTTGAACCCAGTGATTTATTTTCATCTCCTGGCGGATCACGTTGCCGGGGACTGGAGGGTGCGCTTGTGGCCTCTCGAACTGAAAGACTCACAGCATCACTCTGAGAGTTGAGAGCGTCTTTGATTTCTTCACTGGCGCTCGCCTGCTGTTTCTCACCAGCAGAGGCAAGTAATACTCCCTTCAGATCCAGCTCTTCCAGGTCCTGCGGCTGAGATATCAACCTGGTGTTCTCTGACGCCTCACTTTCACTAATCATCCCGATGCTGCTCTGATCTTCTTCACTGACCCGCTCTTCGGTCCCACTCCCGCACGTTGGGTTTTGTTCTCCACCAGAACCGAAAGCCGGTAAATTATCGCGTAGATCTTCTTCCAAGTCGTGGATGTGAAAACCAGCCAGCGGTTTTACTGACTCCGGAGGTATCGAGTTCCCCGTGCCACACTGAAAGCCTTTGCTTTCCGAGGTATCATCTTGCGTTTCACTGTCGCGGGCTTCCCGCTGTTCACCGGCACCACCGACCCACGATAAGTTCTCTCTGATCTCCGGTAGGTCACAATTCGGAGGGGTTTGTGGCAATATCATGGTGGCGTCCGGGCAAAAATCGCGCTCTATACCAACTAGTTGACTACGCTTCTCTTCAGAGGTTTCTTTTTCTATCCCACTGAAGTGAACTTGCCCTTCCTCGGGACAGAGGTGCAGTGAATCAGCCGGGTCAGGATTCTGAGGGCTTGAGATCAGTTCCGCGGTTGCTGGCATTGCTGATTTTTCCTCAGAATTCTTGTGCACAATACGAGCGGTTTCTTCACAGGCTTGTGCTGTTTTCATTTCACCACTGCGTGTTGGCTGCTCCCCTTCGCCACTCAAAGCCAATATGGCCTCTTCGACATCCACCGCACGAGGACTCTGATGGCAGGATATCAGTATGTCGCTTACTGGAAATAAACGACTCTCGACACCCACCTGAAGGCTGCTCACATTCTCTGTTTGTAGCTGGTCGCTTAACCCCATCTCTCGGGTCTCTGCGGTAATCAGATCCTGTGAGCTAACTGTCACCTTCTCCCCTTCTGGGAGCCTGATGTGTTCTGAACACAGCACAGAAGCCTGCGGATCTTCCTCACTGACATTATCTTTTGATGTGCCTCTGTTCGGGCGTTCTTGTTCTGTACCGCCACTGAAACCCAGCCCTGCCTCCGTTCCTTCCTGCCATTCCAGACTCCAAAGGTTAGCTGTCATTTCCGTGCTTTCTGTCTGCACGGTTTGCTCCCTATCTGTCTGAATGCTCCGCACATTTTCCTCACCGGCTTTTTCTCTCATTAAATTGCTGTCTGGTAGCTCCTCGCTAACGCACACCAATGAAATCGCTGACAGTCCCGTGTCTGGATTCCGAGAGCCACATGTCAGCTCAGTTGTTCCTGGAACCAAAATGCCGTCACTGTCTGTCTGAAGCCCCAAAACGTCTCCTTCACAGACAGTTCCTTTGCTTTCAGCGCTACATATTTTCTGCCCTTCACTGCTCAACCCGAATAATTCTTCTTTTAGCTCCACATTGCTCTCAGGCACTTTGCTGGCGACCAGTCCTGTGTATTCCGGGAGCGCATCCTCTGAACCCACGAGGATCATTCCTTCACAAACATTCTCGTTCACGCCATCCTCACATTTATCCTGCCGTTGGCTCTGACCGTTGAGCAGCCCCACTATTCCTTCAGCAGCTTCGGCCCCGTCACGATTCTCTGTGCCAGCGGCAAGTTCTTCGGCCGACGTCTCTACAACAGGGTCAGAAGCAGTCCGCAGGCTGCCCTCCGTGTACTCTCCTCCCGTGGGGCCACTGAGTGTTCCCTGCAGTTCACCGTCAAGGACCACGACCACCTGATCGAAGGTCTGAGGAAGCTCAGGGTTCCCCGCCACTGTCGCGTGCTCCACAACGCTGCTCTCCAAACCCACCTCAGGGCTATTCTCGTTGTCGGCGCAAGCTTCCACTTTCGTTCCACGCTCACCCACGTCCTGGCGCTCGACAATATCGTCGAAGCTCGGGCGTTCTTCCAGTGAGCCAGCGGTCCGAGTGCCGGAGCCTAGTGCCTGCTCAATGGTTGTCGCTGACTGTGTCGGGCTGGCACCTCGTTGCTGAAGGCTGCACACCTTGGCCTCACACACCTTCTCTTTCTCTGCACCAGCAGCCAGTGGCTGTTGTTGGCCATCAACGCTCAAATCCGCTAGTTGCCCGCTCGCGCCTCTCGAGTCAGAATCCCACAGAGCTCTCAGCAACTCAGCAGCCTTTGGAAACGCAACATTTTCCGCGCTTTCCACATTCTCCGCCCCTGCGGGAAGGCAGCAGGGATTCCCTTGGGGAGAATCGGGAAATTCTCGCTCCCCATTGCCATAGATTCGCTGGTGTTCACCGTTGGATCCCGTTAGTATTTCTCTTGGATGTCCAGGATCGGGATTGTGAGGGCTGAGTGATGATTCCAGCACCTCTGGGGGTAGAAGCTTCTCCACGTCAGCCTGAAGGGTGTGAGACAGAACCTCACAGACGTCTTCTTTTGTTGTCCTGCTGCCCGACTGTGGCATTTCTCTGCCGAGCCCCGCCAACGCATTCTCGCGTCCCACTGCTGACGTTTTCTGAGCACCGTGTGGCCACCCGGTGGTTTCTGGAGATAAAAGGTTCCCTGTGCCTCTCTGCGAGTTGCCCAGCTTCTCCCTGCACAGATAGAGATTGGATTCAGCATCGCCCATTTCCAGCTGCTCTTTAGAACACTCCGATTTATATCTCCCTTCTTCAGCACCAGCACCCAGAGCTAACTGTGTGGTCGCCGGGAACTCGGTGCGGTCAGTCTTCTCACGAAGGCTGTGTACATCCCCTTCATTGGCTTTCTCCTGCTTTTCACTGCTGTGGGTTTTCTGTTGTTCAAGGCTGAAGGTCGCGGGTTTCTCTTTTAATCCAGCTCCATCAGGCTGCTGACAGCCGGGCTGAGCGTGCCTGCTTTCAGGGGTCGTGTCTGCCTGCAATCTGCACTCATTTCCCACACGGAGTTCCACTGATGATTCCTCGTCTGCCGTTTGTTGCTCGTCCTCATTTTCTGCGCCCGCCGAATCACTATCCCCAAGAATAAGCGATAAGCCCGGGATTCGTGTGGACAAAGAACCTCTCTCTGCGGTTATCAGAGGGCTGCAGGCAATTTCTCGGAGATTGTGTCTTCTCTTCCACCGCCGACAATCATTAATGGCTCACTCATTTCACTTGCATCAGGAGGACGCACACCTGCCGTTTCTCGGACAATAACACCTGTCTTTGTTGCCTGAATGTTAAGTAGATTCTCTCGACGCGAGCTCGCCACCGTCTCGCCATGACGCGTTTGTGTTTGTCCAGAGCGATGGGTGAACACTGGTACCTTCTCAGTTGCTTCTTTTGACTCACATGTCCGGGGAGCGAGTGGCAATTCCTTGGCTTCTGGTAACATCCCATTCTCCATCTCTATCGGAGAGCTGCGCTTGATTTCTTCTGAATCCTTTTCCCTTCCACTGCTGTAGGTTTGCTCTTCGCTAGTGACCGGCAAAGCTGTCTGACTTGCGTCAACCGTACCAGGAACCTCTGAGCTAGATGGTGCTTCCACAGGCATCCCAACGATCTGCTCAGTGCTCATCTCAAGGCTGCCCATGCTTCCGTCCCCTACCTTTTCCTTTACCATTATATGCTGCTGCTCTTCACCGAGAACCATTGACGTTTCTTTCACCCCTAGCACAGCGGGAGTTTCTGCGTGCGGGGTCGCTTCAAACATTTCCGAAAACCTTTTATTTTCTATTCTCCGGCCTTCTGTCTGAAGGGTGCTCATGTTTGCTTCATGCACATTGTCCCTGGTTTCGCTGCTGCAGGTTTGCTGTCGATCACCAACACAGTCGACACTCAGTGCATCCTCTCTCGTCTCATCGGTACTCCAGTCTCGAAGGCTCGCTGACAGTTCTATGGTCACTGGGAACACATTTTGCGTGGTCACTGGAGACACATTTCGTTCACTCTTCTGCAAATGGCACAAACCATCCTCGGAATCCTTATTCTGAGATTCAATGGCATCTCCTTGTTCACTGCTTACCCTCAGTGTGTCTCTTTCCATCTCCGTTGAGTCAGGATTTTGAGGGTTAGCAATTGTTTGCATTGCCTCTGAGAATGACTCACTCTCCAAACAGGTTTGAAGATGATTTTCTTTGCGCCCCGTCTCTTGGTTTTCATTGAAGCACATTTCCTGCTCCCCTTTTTGGGAGCCCACGAGCATCTCTTTGGTTTCTGGTACATCGGAATTCTGATATGGTGTCCGTTCAGAATTGTCTGGAAAAGCGGAATCTTCAGTCTGTGAACTGCATCGAGTCTCTCCCAAAGCCTTTTCCCGCTTTTGACTGATGGATGTTTCCTGGTCACCGTCACAGCAGAAATCTACTGCTTTATTTAGGACATCCTCTGAGACAGGATCCTGGCAAGTCGGTGACAATCTAAGATATTGCTGGCTATCAGCATTGTCCAGCCCAGCCTGACGATCGCAGGCACTGTATTCACAGGCCTCTTCTTGTGCTTCACTGGCCCCTATCTGGAGTTCACTTTTAGAGGTGAATGCGGTCACTTTCAGTTCCAATACATCAAGACTCTGAGAGTCATGTGGCAGCATGTCATTTCCCAAGCCCACTTGGGAGCAGCTCAAATTCCCTTCACCAACATTGGCTTTGGCTTCACAGCTGTATGTTTGAACTTGTTCACTATCACAACTAAACCCCATTAACTTCTCTTCTATTTTCCCAAGCCCGGGATTCTGAAGGATTGCAGACAGGTCGGTGTTTCCTTGAAATGTGTTTTCCGTCACATTGACACGGCTGTAGTCATCGTGCTCGGAGCAGCTTCCTTGTGCTTTAGTCTCATTTTCTTTCCGCTGCTCACCACCAACTGTGAACAGCGCCAGATTCATTTCGGCCGGATCAAAATCCTTTTTCTCAGGAAGGTTTTGACTTTCCGTCTCTTTGAGAAAATTGTGCACACTTCCTCCACTGATGTTTAATTCCCTCTCACTGTTACACGTTTGTCGTCCATCATTGTCACAAAGGAAAGCCAATCCATTCTCGTCTAAGGTTTTTATCTCAGCAGGACTCTGTGTACACTCCAACATCCCAATGCAACCTTCAGTTTCTTTCACACTGACCTCTGGTGAGATGCAGTTTTCTTCCTTATGGGAGACTACTTGTTTGCCAAACTGCTCATTGTCAACCTTGGCTTGCTGAGAATGATTGACGTCACTTTGACCTCCCGCGATTGCCACATTCTCATATTTTTCTAAACTGAGTGTTGCTGGATACTCTGGGTGTTGGATTTCCCCAACCATTAACAGATTGCTTCTGCCATCTGTGCTTTCTTCAGGCTCTGCCTCTGTGCATTCTTTGTATCCTGGTACCAGTACCTTCAGGCTATATTTGGTCTCTTGGGCAGCCAATTGATCTCCCATTTGTGCGGCCTGAGACGAGGGATGTGAATATTGCTCATCTGTGCCATCCAGCTGTTCACCATGATGCAATGGTTCCGACAACCATTCCACACTTGCCTTAATATCTCGTGCTAACAAAGAACCATCTTCCATGCTGCAATTAGCAACTTCTACCTCTGTCGCGCCTGCATCCTGGACTATATTCGTCACTTCCAAGCCACTTCCTTCGAGTGGAACATCTTCAAGTGAAGACCATTTACATTCTGGTGACGCATTTCCTTGTCCTAGCAGGATTATTGGAGTCGCAGAATTCGGGTCATTTTCAGTAATATTTTCAGGAGACGGAGCATCATTGGCTCCTGCATTGGGGCTGTTAATAGTGGAAAAGTTTGAAAATTACACACTAAAATACCAATATTAACATTGGCACACAGCAAAGACTGCCATTCGGTCAGTTCACATGCAGTAGAATTAGCTGGACGAAGCCATGCAGTGTGTCACCTGAGACACTAGATGTGTTAGGTACTGTATTAGGTTGCAACATTTCTACCTCCAATACAAATAAGTCTCACAGGACAATCCTCGAAGTTCGTGGCACTGAAACGTAGAGTGCATGTTAACTAGCTTATTCCAAGAGAACTGCTCAGAAAAGCTGTCTCGCACAATATTCTGCTGTTAATAAGAATTTTTCTCTTTCGTTTATCCGATTGTAAAAAAAAGAGCAGCACATTGAATAGACGAGGGAGTGAAATGCGTATGTATCATGAACATAAGGTTTTTTTTCCTTTCAGAAAATATAACATATTTCCATCTGGATCACTTAAGATTTGTTTTTAATGATTCAAGATATAAACAACAAAAGGTTAGTATAGTGCCTGGGTTCGATTCCCAGGTAGGGCATAACCTTAGGCAAATTTCCTTACTCCACACACCTCTGTTTACTGAGCAGTAAGTAGGAACTCGGTTGTTAGTAGATTGGCAGATCACTTTTCTGGGGGGTAATAATCCCTTCAAAAAAAATTAATAATACTAATTTGGTCACTCAATCCACGACTGTCGCATTTCACCCACAAGATATACAGTCAATTTACTTTACAGTATATTCTGTGAAGCGCTTTGAGATGTCTCGAAGATGTGATAAGGTGCTGTATCAGATGCAAGGATTATTATTATTATTATATGGAACAAATCTGAACGGGAGAGATGGGCTAATGGTTTGGATAATAATCCTTAAGAATCCTTGCATTTGATATAGCGCTTTTCACGTCGGGAGGACGTCCCAAAGTGCTTCACAGAACACACTGTAAAGTGAATTGACTGTATATTTGTGGGCGAACGCGGCAGCCAATTGCGCACAGCAATGTCCCACAAACAGTCGTAGATTGAAAATGACCAATTTATTATTGTTTTTGGTTTTGGAGGGATTATTATTAGGCTCTGTGTGGAGTAAGGAAACTTGCCCAAGGTTTCGCCCTCTGCCTGGAATTGAACTCGCGAATGCTCTAACCACTGAGCTACAGGACTCCACAGGATGTGACTGTATGGAACTCACTGCCCCAAAGGGCTGTTGACGCTCAGTCGTTGAACATATTCAAGACTGAGATAGATAGATTTCTTATTGCAAAAGGGATTAAGGGATATGGGGATAAGGCAGGGTCAGGTTATCAGCTGAAGTAGAAGATCAGCCATGATTGAATGGCGGGGCAGGCTCGAAGGGCCGAATGGCCTACTCCTGCTCCTACATGTTATGTTATGTGACCTTTAATCAGATGTCATTTCCTGCGATCAGGACATTCTGAAAGAACATGTTGTGATTTGCAAACCTGCTGCATGCGCTTTGTTTCCACACAAAACCAAAATGGAAAGACTGTTCGCAACATGTTATGTGGAAGTGATTATTCTCTCTCTCTCTCTCTCTCCTTTTTGTAGCCTAACATCTCGCCTTGTTCATAACATTCCCACCACAGAAGGAAAATAATAGTGGGGTTGGTGAGGGGGGGGGGAGAGGGGAAGATTGTTCTGTCTGTGATAATTAAACACAAATCTGACTAATCCCAGATGTTTTATCACATAACAGCTGCTTTCCATCTGTCACGTTTTCAGTGAGACATAAAGAAATCTGATCTCATTCCTTTTATACTGTGTTTAGCGAATCAGTTTCTATGAGAGCCGGTGAAATGTTTACCAGGGAAGGAAAATAGAACACATCTTAATCCCATCGGGCGCAAAGGGAGCATGAATTAGAAAAATCAAAGTCCAGGATGGTCTTTAATTATGATAACTAATATTAGTAGATTGTAAAACATCAATGCAAATCTGCAGTAGTAAATTGCACCATCGACCATAGCACAGCAGCATTTCCTCAGGGACTTTCTAGCTGAAGTCGCACGGAGAGTTTATTCATCGCAAATCTCCGTGGCTGAAATGGCAATAATACAAATTTTTGACTCCCTCCAAGGACGGGGAGAGGGAGGGGTGGGAAGAGAGGTAAGTGAGGTTCTCCTTGAAGCTACGCTGGCTTCGAGGTGACGTGCTTGGCAACGGAATGTCGGAGTTGAGACGGTCCTCAGTGGCGGTTTCGCTAGTCCAGTTCCTGCGGCAGGCGGGTCCTGCAGTACTCCAGGGCACGGCTGCTGGCAGACCAGTCAGCCTGGCTCGTTAATGAACACACAATGAACTCTTGTGCCCTTCTAAA